AAGATCTGATATATGTTGTTGTTTTAAAATAAAGTCTTGATATGAGTCATATAAAAAACTGTCTTTATTTTTTATTGATGCAGCCATCATAATATCAACTTCATGGGCTGCTTCTTCAAACATGTTAAAAATTTTCAAATATACACCAAGAGCAATATGCAGACTTGGTAAAGAAACCTATGTACATACACAGGTAGGAGTTATAATTAAAATATTATTATTATTGACGTATATTAATTTTATGTTACAAATAGCCATCAGAGAAAACTACTGAAAATAGACAACCTAATTTTACCTGATCAAGAGGTATTTTTAAAATTGGTTCTGTAATAACATTATTGTAATATTTAGCATTTTCCTTTGCGCCACCATTTTTCTTAAATCTTTCAAAATCATTTTGAAGGCTTTCAATCGTACGTAGTTCTATAACAGGTCTTTCGTTTTTGAAAACTTTCATTTCATTTGCTGTTGCATGACAGAACAAACAACAGTGTTTACCTAAAAATTTGAATTATGTATAGGGTTAATTGAATTATTACAGTCTACTCTGAATACCTCTAATACTCTATATCTTAAGATATCAAGAGTAGACAATATACTAATATTATGCTAGTCACAACGTAACACAATATCACAAAAGCTAAAGACTAACTTTATATGTATTGTATAAAGTAATAAAACAGCATACCAGAAGCTCCTGAAATTCCATACAATGCACAAAGAAATTCATAATCACCAAAGATAAAAACTCTAATATTATTGCCCCTAAATATATATATATATATATATATATATATATATATATATATATATATATATATATATATATATATATATATATATATATATATATATATATATATATATATACATAAAGCAATATATTCACAAATTGATATTCAAGAATATGTTGGTTTATGTATAGTTTCCTACTATTGTATTGTTCCAGTATTGATTAATAAAATTTCTCAACATACCTATACTTCATTGTTTGTAAGTCTTCTATTTGTTTTTGAAACCTTGTCATGCCTACTTTAATATTAACTCTGAGGTCTTTTGATTCAAATATATTAAAAACAATTGTATTTTCTGTACTATTTGGATTTAAGGTATTAACAACCTGATAACACATCTTAAAACTTCCTCCGCCATAATCTCCTCCAATTTTAATTTTAATTTCTTTTTGTGGAATAAACTTATGATACACAAGACTGTTACAGCTATTAAAAATTTAAATGATAAGTTGAATAATACTACAAAACAGTATTCTATATATATACAAATAAGGTAAGTTTCAAAAATCAGAAATTAGATGCTAAAATTAGATGCTAAGATATAAATTCTTACCTTTCTAACTGTTCAAGATGAGTAAAAATATGCTTTGGTAAATCTGCAATATAACCCTAAGGTACCTCATTAATTTCAATCTTTCCTTTTTGTTCCTTTTTAAATGTGAAAGGAGCATTTTCAACAATGTTGTTTCCCGACCAATTTTCAGCTACAACTCTTTGTGAAGCATTAGATGCAGTGGTTATATCATATTTTTTGAGCCATCTAGTAAAAAAAATTTGTTACAGTAAATGTATATATATTTAATCAAAAGTGCCAAAAAGTTAAAAATGTCATATATTTATACTTACCTAGACATTACTTTAAGTTTTTCCCATGGGATACCCATATCAGTTTTCATAGCTACCACCACATTTGCACTTATTTTAGTGTGATTTAGTTTTGTATTACTTAATATTGACTGTCTCTGATCTGGTTCAAATGATAATAACAATTTACTTGTTTGACTTATACTTGAATCGCATGAATTGCCAGCTACAGTCTCAAAATGTTTCAAAATATTTGTATTACGAAGTCGCAAAGTAGATTCTGCTGCCTGAGCACTGTTAACATAAGCTTTTGGTGTCTGTGTAAAAACGATTGGCTGTTAAGAAAAAATCAAAAACATTAAGTTCTATGACTTAATAACTTTTTTAATGTTTATGCAAAAAAAAGACTTACTCTAGGTCCTCCACTTTTAAATTCTACTGACTTTCCTCCAAATTTAGCCATCTTTTGCTTAATGACATGAAGCGCAGCTTTTTCTACCTCATATGGAATATCACTATTTTCATTTATCTTAAAAACATCATTGACACTAATACTTGCTGCAAACGATTGAGGAACTGATGCCTCTTTAAGACAAATGCCTTTATGACTCTTATATAATTCATACTCTTTCAATAAATTAAATTTACTATTGCAAAAAGAACAAACAGTAGTAAGCATCCTTAGAAGAGAATCAGTTTGCTTACTTGTGAACAAATCATCATAGAAAACTTTTTCATTGCATTTTGGACAAAAGGTTTCATCAAGATACTTAAACTTGATTTTTTCCACAATACATAAAAAACAAAATAAATGTTCGCATCTTTTTAATGAAACTGGTGTTTGTGGTATCTTATTACATATACAACAGAGACAAAGCTGCAAGAAAGGGTTTAAGTCATTTTTTAGTTCTAATATGTCAATATCTTCATTTAAATTGTAATTAGGTATAAGGTTTTCTTTAATTGAAGTAAACATAGCAATTGTCCAACATTTTCTATATTTTCCAGGTAACTTCGATTTTTTTAAACTTTTTGCTTTTTTTAAAAATGAACGTGTAGAAATTGTTGTATTTTTTTCTTTTTCAGCAATGTGACATGTCGCACAGTTTATGCTATGCGGTTGCCACTCATTGAATAAAAGCAGTGCTGTTGTTGTTTTTCTTTTTTTTTAAATTATTGATAGTACAACAACATTTATGGCAGATTTTTTCCGGATGAACAGTTTTTATTTCTGTCAGCTTAACAAGAAATACTTGCTCAATTATGATTTTGATTTTATCAGTTACATTATATTGTCTTATCCCAACCCATTTTGCGCATATTCGGCAAAGGTAGTTTAAATTTTTGTTATGTAACTCCATCTAAAAGCATTACTTAATATTAAAATCAGTCAAAAAAATAAACTAACTATTAATATATAAATATATAGCATTAAAATATTTGTGAAAAACTAGTGTTGGTGTCTATTAGTCTATTTTAAACTGTGTCTAGCAACAGCACATACTTACACATATGTGTAAGTACCTTATTATACAGTAAATAATACAGTATAATAATATATTATGTATAGGCATATTTATTATATTGTATCTAACTATACAGTGATATGCAACACTTGTTGGCATTATTTTGAACTATAATTATATATATTATATATATATTTTTTCCAATATTGATCAACATGTAGTAGTATACATCAGATACTATAACACTTCCTTTGTTTACAGTGATTTTTTGGTTGGTGCTTTAACTTTTTTTCGATATAAAAATATATTTCTGCTCTTACGACTATCCCTAAATAATAAAGTGTTTTTCTTTCTTTGTAGTTATATAATATGAGTTTTAAAATAAAAAAAATACTTTATTATATCAGGGTATAGTGACCTTTTCCCTGTATAATAAAGTGTGTTTTATTCCTTCTTATGCATAAGAGCAGAAGTATATTTTATATAGAAAAAAAGTTGAAGCAACAACCAAAAAATCACTATATATAGAGGAAATATCGTTTTAAAATTTTAAAAAAATATTCTTCGATTTCTACGGTTAGAAGTTGAGAAAATCGATTTTAAAAAAATAAACAAATTACTGACTCATACTAAAATAGCATTCGAGGAAACTGAAGGTTTAATAGGCCAAAATCATTCTCAGCTTATTAAAATTTTTTAATTATGAAACTAAGTTATCTATCTTCTGATTTACTGCAATTATAAGATAAAAATAGTAAGTTGCGATTAACAAACCTACAACAAAAAGATCGTCATATAAAATGTTCGCTGTAGTTAAGGACCGCAGCCATTTTAAAAGTTCAAAACATTTTTAAATTAATTGACGCATGCGTACCTAAACATAGCGCTTTTTCCTAATATCGAAATGACCGTGTTTGATCTCCTTTTTATTTTAACAACAATATACAAACTTAGCAAAAATAAACAATTACAAAATAGTTTTATTCAACGCTTAAAGATAAAAAAGTATATTACAAAAATTTTTTTATTTTAATATACTTTTTTAAAAATTAAAAAAATATATTAGAAAAAACTACTTACACAATTTTGTAGAACTTATTATTAGCTAAATTATTTAAAATGCGAATTAAAAGGGATTAATTTATTACGATGGGGGTTAGAAAATTTAAGCTCCCGGTTAATCCATTTCGCCATATTTTAAAATAATTTAACTCCCGGGGTTAATTTATTTCGAAATAAATTAACGGGGGAGTTATAATGTTTTAACCGGGAGTTAACCTTTCGGGGAGTTATTTTATTTCGCGTCGAACTTCTTTGATTAAAAATGATTTTTAATTGATTAGAAAGATTAGATGCTCTTAACGTGCGTATTTAACTTTCATTTCGCGCTTCGATTATATTTTTTTCTCTTATTACAAATGGTGGATTAAACTTATAAACAAAAAAGCGGCTTCACTTTACGTTAAATAAAATCTCGTAAGTTAAACATCTAGTATAGCTTGTTGATTACACCAAAAAGTTTCATTTAAGAGAATAATTTTAAAAACTGTTACAAAACTTTAAATTAATTGGATAATTTTGAAAAATTACCCGGTTGACGGGTGCGAAAAAACTTGCAAACTACCCGTTTAACGGGTATACCCGTTAACTTGCAAACTACCCGTTTAACGGGTATAGCCGTTAACCAGGTATTTGACGGGTGCGAAAGCACTTGCAAACCTGGTTAACGGGTATACCTGTTAACAAAGTAATTTGCGAGTTTTTTCTCACCCGTTATCTTACGTAAGAACCACTAGTACTAATATCGCTATTTACGTAGCCATCGACTAGCTACAGATCGTTATGTTCTACCTAGCTATAATATATATATATATATATATATATATATATATATATATATATATATATATATATATATATATATATATATATATATATATATATCAAACAACATTTTCATTTTATTATTTCATATCGCTCTCTGATTACATATCATAGTTTTGTAGCAACCGATATTACTAAGATAAATAGCTATAGCTATTTATCTTAGTAACATCGGTTGCTACAAAACTGTGATATGTAATCTGAGAGCGATATGAAATAATAAAATGAAAATGTTGTTCGCAAAGTTCAATTATCATAAATGTCTATAGATATTTTTTCAATGCAGTTCACCTCACCAAGGCCGAGAGTAACTACAATCGAAGAGGCTACTTTATTATGGTAACAACCGTATCTCAACTCATTATCTCTGAAATACAAACTTTTGCGAACAAGATCGTTGCACGGAGAAACATGATGAACGCGTTACCAGAGGCGTGGTAAAGATGTAACTCAAAGCTATGAGATCCAATATTTAAAAAAATGAATTTTTCAGGAAGTAAAAAATGAAATGAAAATCGCTATAAAACTAGCTCTTTTCCCATGATGCCCATTCATGCCAAGAACATATAAACGTGCTGTTGGGAGCTGTGGTTTTATTTCATATTCCCAGGAAACATTAAACAAATATTTAAATGATGTAAGAAGTGGGGAATTATCACAAACAAACGCAGACAGGCGTCAGAAAAACTGGAGAATACCCACTTTATCGAAAACAGGGACTAATTAACTTCGCGAAAGATTATTTACAAATAAGAGTAATACTGGAGAAATTACTAGTCAGTGAGATTTTCATACAATACTTAGTTAAAGCAAAAGGCAATGATTATATAAAAAGCAACTTAAAGTCTCCATTGTACCTAAAAAAAGTGACCATTAATTGATGTTGCTAATATGCAGAGCTACAAATATAAACGAGGCAAAAGTTATAAAGGTTTATATTTAGTAATAATAAACATATTAATGAAGGTAAAGTAAACCAAGCATATAAACCTTAATAAACCAGGAAAGTATGGCATACAATTCTGAGTTTTTTTTTAACAATAAAAACAAATCCTCATTTTAATCGTAAGATATACTAAAGGGATAACTAAGATTTTTTCAATTAAAACCATGACATATATTTTTGATCTGTAAAAAATTACTTTTGTGTATGGTTTAATAAATTTTATGATTCATTAGCTACTTATTGTTAATGATAAAAAAGTGTGTCAGTAATTTCGTTCTAAAGGTGAGTTTCCACTTATCCGTTTTTCTACGGGAAAGGGAAAGGGAACGAAAAAATAATCACGTGAGCATGGGCAGTTTTCTTTTGGACAAATAAAAACTCTTATTACGCATGCTCACGTGATTATTTTTTCCTTTCTTATCCCGTTCCCGTTGAAAAACGGATGAGTGGAAACTCGCCTTAAAATGTGTTTGAAATAACAATAAATTTAAGTTTTAATTGAAGTGCGATTTATGTCAGATTCATTTGCCAAAAACCAAAATAATAACTTTATTTGTTATGATTGTGTGCAATCTATTATCTGTAAATTATGGTAAAATTACCGAAAAGTTAACTTAAAAATAATGTTAAAAACTCGTAAAAAACAAATGAGGCATTACAAACCATACTTTTGGCTAAAACATCAGGTTTTTTATTCATTACATCAAAAATTTTTTGATAATGAATAGTTTCTAAATAAAAAATCTTATGTAAAAGCACATATACATAATATGATTTTGAAAAAAATAATAACATTTAAAGAAATTAAAAAAAGTATATAATGAATTATATTATTAGAACATAGATTAATATTATTAATAAGAAAACGAATAATTTTTTAATTAAAATAGTGCTTTAAAAAAAAAAAAATCTTACAAACCTATTTAACGCTGGCGTATTGTTTCGAAAAATCTTCTTTATCTTTGCAACAAGTTCGAATGCATTAACTGAAATTTTAGGAATCAATCATCCACCAACCAACATGGTTGGCGACTGACCGGTTCCTAAATTTTCAGTTTATCTTTTCTGGAAGATGATCGATTGCTAAAATGTGTAAAGAAACTTTTATAAATTTTATCTTAAAACATTCTATAAAAACTTTAAAGAAACTTTGTACAACAGTCGCGTGATGAATTGCTTCATAGCTGACTGCTTAAAACAGTTGTTGACATTTAACAAACAATATAATATTGTTTTTAGTTCACTTAAGCCGGAACTGTTTATTTATTTATGCTTACAATTACGCGCCGATTCATCTAATTTTTCTCATTTTACCATTCGTTGGCCTAATTTAATTGAGAACAACCAGTTTTGACTGCATGACGTAGTTACAATAATTATTTTATGAAGCTACGTCCCAAGAAATCTTATAATACAAAAACAAAAAAAAACAACAAAAACAACTACAAAATCAAGCTTTAAACAATAATACAAACATTTATAAGCTTTATATTTTAAAAACTGAAAATCTTTTGCTTTATTCACGATAATACAGTATGTGTATGTGTAATACGAGCAATAAACTTTTCACTATTTTTATCATAAAAAAATGTCTATTTTACTTAAGGCTCCGCGTGGTAAAACTTTTGATCTTTTTTGTTATGTTTATTAGTAAAACTTAGCGTTGCGTAATTTATGGACGATTCCTAAGTCAATTAAGAGCGCTATTGTCAATAAAGAGCGCTATTAGCTACAAAATAGTATAGTTTTTAGTATAGTAACATAAAAATGTAGTTTAACAAATATCTTTAATACAAAAAACATCTTTTTAATAATAAATTCTAAAAAATAATACAACAACAACAAAAGAAAAATTTTAATCATATTAGATGCAATATTAGTTGACAAAAATTTAAAATAAAAGCTAATAAAATCCTAAACCAAGAGACATATCTGAAACCCAAAAAAAAACAACACGAAATTCATATGCCTTATACGCCAAGCGTCGTGCTGAAAATTTACTAATACACTAAAATAAAAACAATCACTTAAATAAAAGCAAACTAAAAACAATAACTTAAAACTAAAAAAAGAAAAAAGAAAAAATTATGAATGAAAAACTTTAGAACAGAAAATATACTATTCAGCTTCTTCTACTCGACGAAAATACAAAATGAATTTTGCAGCTGCTTTTTCAAAGCGTAACGTCTAACGCTTTTATAGAAAAATAAATCTGTTGAAAGAAATACAATTGAATAGTTATTTATAATTCCATTGGCTTAAAATAAATAATAGGTTATTTCCCCTAAACAAAGTTTTGTCAATAAAAGGTTATTTCCCTGTTGTTTATTATCAATATTTATTATGACGTGTAAAGAACGAAGTAATAAAATAAATATGCGCTTTACATATGCGCGCCAGTTATATAATATGTAAAAGTTTTATTTGTTTTTGTTATCAAAACCTATAACTAGTCAACGCAGCTGTTCCGTTGAGGTCAGATTTAAAATAACTTTTGAACATTGCGTAAGAAAATTAATTTGAAGAAGTTATAGCGTATCGAGGGCGGAATAAAAGGACTGATTTAAGGAAATCAAAAAATGAATGTAGAGGATATTTAAAAATATCAGTATTTACTATGTTTATCACATCTTATACTAAAAACCTACTCATGAATATAATTAAAAAAAAAAAAAAAAAAAAAAAAATCAAAAGTTTTAGTTAAGAATTTTTTTTTTGTTTCAACTTAACGGAATTTATAGCTAATGTTATTTTAATTTTAAATTTAAACTTTAAAATTTAAAGCAAAAGTTTTTACTTTAAATTATAAAATCACTAAATCCCTTAAAATTAAATTATACAACTAACTTTTCTGACACACACTTTTTAAAAATAATCCGTATCTTTGATAAAATGATTTGGTTAAATATAAAATGTTCAGGTACGTAATGTTTTAATAAAACAGTAATTTAAGGTATTGCTTGCCTGTATCCATTTATAAGCTCATTTTAAAATGATATTTTTTAAATACGAAATTAGGTTTTTCTTTGCTATTTTTAGGAACTACGCCTCCAAATTACAAAAGAAAGGAAAACAGTTAAGGTTATGAAATAAGTTACACAAAAAAGACTTGGAAACAGCTGTAATTCAAGAAAAAACCACGGATTTGCAATAAGGAAAGGTGCAAAAACGTACTATATTCCATTAGGAATGTTACATAAAAAAGTAAAGCTTGGGGATTAATTTCCAAAAAAGCATGCTGGACAGACCAGGCTTGATAGTAAAACCAAAAATTTATTTGTCCAAACAACTATTCATACGAGTGACTCGAGAGTACCATTTGATTCTTTGTACAAAATCTTATTGTGACAAAATGAAGATAAATGAAGCTCAATTAAAAAATAATATACCTGAGGTAGATTTGGTGCAGCTCTTCATGAGGAGACATTATTTAACAAATAAGGTCGCTGATAATGTAAAATATTGTAAAGGCGTGGTAAACGAAAAAACCCTTAACAAATATTTTGATAATTTGTACCAAGAGTTGATACTTTGCGGCTAGAAACTTTGATTAGCAGATTTCGAGCAACGGAAATCTACCCTATCGACAAAACGGAGGTTATAAAACATCTTCCAGGAAAATATAAAGATCTTAGTGGTAAAGACACTGTGATGGTTCTCAACGAATCCTTTTTAAATGTTTAAAAAAAAAATCTAGGGTTAAGTACAAATCCACATGCAAAACGCAACCTCGTGGTTCAAAGGTGAAACCAGGTAAAAAAATTCATTGTTGATGGTATTGACTCAAAGAGTCAATACCATCAAGTTCAACAGAGCAAAAACAACACAGATAGATAATGGTATTGTGCTTTATGTAAGAAAAAGTGGGTAGAGTTAAGCAATGATGTATTCAATGTGATTCATGCAGTAAGCCTCCACCTCCAGTGTTGTGGCCTCATTTATGATAAAGATTATTTTTATGAGCTCAATATTAAAAATGTCAACTTACTATGCAGCACGTATGAGTCATTTGAGAAATTAAAAGATAGTGACCCTTTTTCTGAAATGCAAGTATACTCGTATAAAAACTAAGGTATTTACTCTATAGTGTTGATCAGGTTTACTACTTTTAAAGGAAGCTGAAAAGTATAATGTTCTGTTACAAAAAAAAAAGGAGTTTTTTTTCATGATGCAAAAATTTTCCAAAAGCGTTCATCCCCGTTAACGTATTATTTAAAAAGCATTGTTCTGAGAAATGTGTACTTTTTAATATTATTTTAAAATACTTGATTGCGATGTCTATTGATAATAAAAAGTAAAATATATCTACGCAGTAAATCACTTAAAACAAGTATGACATAAGTATTCAAATTTATTTTTGAATTGATTAACTGTTATTTATTCTATAATATATGGCGGTAAACAATTCCAATCTTCTCTACATAATAAAAAGTTATATTTAGCACTACTCTTACAGTATGGCATTGTAAAATTTTGATTATGACCACAAAAGTTTTATTGTTTTTATTGAGTTTTACATATTGAGTCGTTTATCCAAATAATCTCCTCATAACCTTTTTGTATTTTATATTGAAAAATTAGATCTCCTAGTAAACGACGCTCTTCTAGTGTTGTTAATTTTATTAACTGTATTCTTCTTTCATATGGCATTTTTTACTAGTTTTAAACTCTTCTCTGTACTTTTTCCAACTTTAAAATTTCGTGTTTCAGATGAGGGCACCATACTTGAATAGCAAACTCAATATTTGGTCTTGAATTGTAAAGTTGTGTATAATTTTTTTGCTATATTTGAATCAAAATATATATAAATTCGTTTAATAAGAGCAAACATTTGATTTGATTTTCCCGAGGGTTGAAAATTTTCCTAAATATTTCAGGAAAGTTTCCAGAAATTTTGAAATATTTGGAAATTTTTTTTTCTTATAACTAATGATCTATTTGTTTTCAAAATTTGATCATTTGTTTTCAAAATTTTCTGAAACTATTTTATCCTGTTATTTGCTAAGCATATTAATTTTCATTGCCATAGCAAGTTTTTTTTGAGGCTAAATATAATTTGCACCCACATCCCAAAAAGCATAAGGCATTTTTTAATATCTATTAAATTAGCCTACAAGTTACTAAGAGCTGTATAATTATATATAAAAAGACTTGATTGAATGTATACAATATTTTATAATTTTTTCTTGATTTCAAAACGTTATTAATTAATGAAAGGCAAAAATAAAAGAATTTTTTTTTGCTAAATTTGAACTATATAAAAATTTAGTTAGCAATAAAAATAAATAATTTTTCTCGAAATTATTATATTGCAATAGCAATAAAATGATTTCGAGGTCACACTTGAGTCTCATAAACTCCACCTCTAAGTTTAAATAAATACTTTTAAGACTTGAATCTCAGTGGGGAGTCTCACTTGAGTCTCAGTGGCGAGTAAGTCTCACTTGAGTCTCGCTCACCACAACCTTGCTAAAGCGCTTTTGAAATCAATAAATTAAAAAGTTTAACTTTAAAATGGAATAAGTGTATAACGTATTTTTCAACCAATGCTGACAAGTGGGTATTTTTCTGTGTTTTATAAGTATGATACCAAGAAAATTAATTTATTTTACTGAGCATTCAAATCAAACACATACATTTAAAACACAACTTGTGCTTTTGTTATCTAACACACACATTTAAAACACAACTTGTGCTTTTATTATCTAACACACACATTTAAAACACAACTTATGCTTTTGTAACATGTGCCTTTCATAAAGACGATTTAAAATGCAATCTTTATAAAAATCTTCAATATATGTAAAAAAAAACTAAACTTCACCCAACTGAATTGTGTCAAATACCTGAATAGACAACTAAATTTGTAAAAAACCAACTATAACTTGATAATCACCTTCTTTGAGGGTGGAGGGGGAGCGGTGGAACACCCCTTTCCCTACACACCCTTTCCCTAAAATCGCCTTTTTATGCAATCTTTACACATAAAAAATTTTTGTTTCTTTAAAACACTTTACAAAAATATTACACAATAACACTTATTAATCTAAAAAAGATTTTATTCCTTATATTTTGTAAATATTTTACATAATAGTTGAGAGAAATGAAAGCTAGAAATATGTTATAAACAAGTTCAAAAGACAAACTAACTCTACTTTGTGCTGTTTCACAAAAGTAATGTATGTAAAAGTAACTAGGGGTGGGAGTTAAGGTTACCCGGTTGGAAATCGGCTAGCGAATAGCTAGCTATAATTGTTACGATAAAGACAGCGATTTGGCCACGAGGATCGCTAGCTTTTTTAATTTAGCGAAAAGCTATCGATATTTGTAAAGATAAAGACAGCGATTTGGCTACGAGAACAGCTAGCTTAATAAGCTAAAGACTCACAGGCTATTATAGCTACCGTCATACCGTAATAAAATCGCTATCAAAAAAATTTTGGTATGTAGCTATCAACCAGCTATAGTTTGTAGATATTTTATAGCTAGCTACAAAGCTACGATATGTAGCTAGCGACACATAGTTACAAAATCGCGATGTTTAAAGTTCAGTTATTCTCATAATTATAATAAACTCAACTCTAAAAATCGAATTTTCAAAAATGTTAGAGACATTAGTAAAGAATAAAATAAGAAAAAATAAATCGCTTGAAAATCGCTATAAAGCTAGCTAGTCGCTCGACTAACTTTTTAGTTAACTAAAACTAGTCGACTAACCTTTTAGATAACTAAAAATATCCGACTAACTTTTTAGTTAATTAAAATTAGTCGACTAAATATTTAGTGCAATTAAATTTAATCGACTAAAGCAAAAAAGAAATAATCTTTAGCATGAAAATTTTAGACACGAGGAAGCTTTAATAAGACGATTAAATATTATTTTATCGTTATTAAACACTTTATTAATTGTGAATCCTAGAGCCCAGTCGAATTAAACTGTTATTCAAAAAAAAAAATTTTAAGCAAAATTCGATTATTTTTATTTTTTCCCAACCGGGAGACAACTGTTTATGAGGTTTTTGCAACTGTTTATAAACATAACACTACGCAAACACTACAGTTAGGCAGGTAAAAGTATTGACATAAGCCCAAAAGGTAATCGTTAAATAAGTTATTATAAAAATATTTATTGCTTTCAGAGTATAGTTCGTCGGTTGGCGAGACTTGCAAAATTTAAAAGAAGATTGGTATTTGCATTTTAGAATGC